CCTCATTACTGCAGCCAGAACCTGAGTCTTCATCAAGCTCCGACACGTACACGCTGTACTGTAATCTGAATCTGCCTGCTTCTGTTCAGTCACTGTAGCATTTTTACAGCTTTCACAGGACATTAGTGTCTACATATTGCATTCGTAATAATAAATGTCTTATTCTGTTTATTAGATTAAGCAGAAACTGAAGGATCATGGGATGGCAGAGAACATCAAAGTGAAATGGAAAGAGCAATCAGATGGAAAGGTCTTTCACAAGGTGAAAGAAAATAATACTACAGTGGAAAAAGAAGAGTTGTAATTCTGTAGCTATTTTTAGGGTGAATAATATGTTCAGTCTGGAACATTTATTGAGATGGAGTCTACTGTATTTTTCATTTAGTTGTCTACGATTTCTCTTCACACCAAATGTAGTCAATCAGCGGAGAATGTTTTTTTGAGTGTTTGCTGTTTTTTTTTTTTTTTGTTTGTTTGTTTTTGCAGACACAATGCTGTTGTAGCTAACGTGTAACAAAAGTCTCTCACTCATAATGTTTGTGTAAAAATACACCCAATACTTTATATACATAAATAAGCATTTTAAGTTCCATAATATTGTATGACTCATATATGGATGTTTTTATCACTTTCCTCATCATAAGCATCAACGTACCATTCAAGAATAAGTGAATAATGTGCAGGATATTTCCCTCTACAGCTCTATTCACAGCTCCTGTATTCATCATGACTCAGCCTGTCCATGCAGTCACATGTTTAACATCAAATGTCTCATTAAATAATAATATGCTACACTCTTCTGTATATTAGCCACACACACACACACACACACACACACACACACACAAACACACAAACATTGGTGATGTTTTTGATTGAGCTGATTTTATCATTAGAAACTTGCTGTTGAAATGCACAGGATATATATTTTGGGTGGTTTAGTATGAGACAGGAGCTGAAAACTTTACTATCATTTTTGGGATTGTACTGATGCAGAAAATGTCAATTTCAGCACCTTTAATTCTTTATTCTGCAACATACATGTAACAATAATATAGGCTTTGTTTAATCACTTAATTAACAAAACAAAAAAAAAAAAACATTTACTGTCATTAGGTTATAAGCACTGTATTTAAATAAAGAAAAAGAAACAAAGAAACAGAACTTTTGTGTCCTGTGTTTTATTCAGAATTTCTTATCTTTTAGGTTAATTAGCCTGAATGATAAAGAAGCTGCTTGCTGTTGCTTTTTAGAAACAAAGAAAGAAAAAAAGGACACCTCATGGGGAATGTCATTCCACCTGAGAAATGCCAGAGCTGCATATAAAACTGCTCTTAAATAGATATTTAAATCTCAAATGGCAAAACATTCGCAGAATTCAGGACTTTTGTAATTTTGTAAAAATGACAAAATTTTGTAACCATAAGCTAGAATTCAGGAGTGATTGTGCTTTATGTATAACATACTTCTTGTACACTTTTACTGGATCATAGTTTAGGGCACAAAAAATGATTTAAGGTCAGCTGTGTTAGAAGGGAACAGAAAGTGGATTTTATCAACTGCATTTCCATTTTTTTTCTCTAATTGTTACATTACATGGGGATTTGCTTACATCAATACACTTTCGTGATATAAAATCTTACAATTAGGTGACTATAAAATGAAACACTACTTATTCTTTATGTGACTAGATCATGGATTTGCGTGAGACCACGCTCACTGAAAAACACTGAAAATATTATTATGACTTCATCATGTAACATCACCACAAGATGGAAGCATGGTTACATCAGTTCTTCTGAGAGTGGCCCTAAGATGTTTTACTGTTTGCTGTTTTAATTCAAGACATGAAGGACATCAAAATGCTTCTCTACTGAGGTGTTATAAAGAAAGTAATAATGATGGTACAGCAGTAGTAATTACATGACACAATAACACTATTGTGTTAGGTTATTAATATCATTACTATTGTTACATATTATTTTGAATTAACACCAGCACACACACACATTATTATTATTATTATTATTATTATTATTATTATTATTATGTGTGTATGCTACATTACAGCACATTGTATTCCACCCTGAAACTACACTCCAGTCCAGGTTTTTTTTTCTCCAGAAAACACTGAAGAAGAAAAGGTTTGTCTCTGCTGAACATCTCTTCACCTGGCCGAACTAATCTTCTCCATATTCAAATATTTTCATAGACTCTACACTTACAGTTAGATTCGATCGAGCTGAAAATAAAAGTGTGTTTCTGTGAGGATTTAAAACTCCTTTCTGCTATAAACACTCAGGTAGGTTCAACTGAAGCTGTGTGGCAGAATCCCAAATGCCCCTCTAGTGTCCTGTTTAAGCGCACTACATAGTGAGACATGGTAATGTTTTTTTTTTTTTGAACAGCAGTGGTTTCCTTCATGGTGTCCTTCCATATTTTTTTTTTTTTCAACTCTTTCAGGATTGCCCATTCGTCTTGGCAGGACGCCCACTCCTAGGGTTCATTATTACCAACAGTTCATTACTGTTACTTTCCTCTTGTCTTTATTGCTGCCCCATATACAGTGTCTGGTTACTTTCTTCACTCATCACTTCTCATCACAGGAAATCATGTGATCACACGCAGAAGGAAGGATAGTGTTTACGTCAGCATGAACAGAGGACGTCTGGTGCCCAGAGAAATCTGTGACTAGAGGTCACCGTTCAGTAACCGTTTGTGTGGGAAAGCACTGGTGCTCCTGCATGTGATCGGGATCCCGGAGAGAGTCTGTTCTAAAAAAAAAAATACACTATTAATGTTAAACCATGTACAGTTTTAAAGTAAATTACTCTGGTTAATCAGTGTGTATTGAGTGACATGGTGGCTAGATTAGGTAGCTAAATTAGCAAACTGTCTGCGAACAGCTGGTGATGGAAAGTGCTCTTTCAGCTTCGCTGTTGGGTTTGTCTTCCACAAGAAAGCTAATGCTTATTCATATCATTAGTTGCACAATAATGTTTATGTCAGGCGTTAGAGGCGCATTAGGGGAGCGATTGGCATACGATTGCTAAACTCCCTAAGCTAGACTAGACTAGGTTACACAGCAGTAACAGTGTGTTCAGAACTGAGAGAAAGAAGTAAGCTAATTCATGTTAGAGCAACCTGAAACATGAAAGTAGTATATTCACAATAAAACAGTCATTTTGAAAAAAAGTAGTTAAAAATAGTATCAGTTGAGAGTGTTTGTAACAGACTTAATAACTGTACAAACGGTTCCCGCACAAACGGTTACTGAACGGTGACCTCTAGTCACAGATTTCCCATAATTTGTCAATAAGTTTTTTGAGTGTTTTTTGAGTTTAATTATTGAGCAAACGTTAAAATTCAGGTTAACACTGCAGGTGATATATTCAGGTGAGTACATATTAGCATTTTTAACTACTTCACACCTAGCTCATTTTACGGTTGAAGAAACGAGAGTAGAAGATTGAAAGTGAGGATGCGAGTTATAGAGCAGATCCCAGCAAGCTCTTCAGATTCTGAGGCAAGTGATGTAGATGAAGATGTTATTGTGAACCTGCCAGGAGAAGTAGACACAGAGAGTGAGGGTGACAGCGCTACTGAGGAAGATGATGATGACACAGTTCAAAGCCAAACTTTTGTCAGTTTTGTGTCTCACACACACACACTTGTTTGATAACAGCAGATGAAAACAGCAGATGAAAGACCTCTGTCTGAAGCAAATCCAGTTCACATTGAGAGGCAGTTGAGGCAGTACACAAAATAAAGATATTGCTATATCATTTAGTGTATGAACTAAAATACGTATTGCTTTTTTGCAGCTGGAGGAAGAAAAAGTTTGAGTACCTGTCAGAAGCCAATGAAAATGCATTCAGCAAACCCGATAAAGATTCATCTCTTTGTAGCTATTTTTCCAGGTTTTTTGACGAAGAGCTTTTCCACCGTATTGCTTTGCAAACTAATCTGTACTCTTGCCAACTAATTGGAGTTAGCATCAACACAAACCCAGATGAACCGAGGTCATTTATTGGGATGAAGCTCACCATGGGTACTGTGAAAATTCCATCAGTTGAGTGGGCAAAGGGTAGACGTTGCCCAAAAATTTCTGATATGGTGCCCTTCAGACCCAAATCAGGGTCAGCTCTGCAAAGTCAGACCACTGCTAGACTGTATCAGAAAAATGTCAGGAAATTGAGAGTGAGAATCAGTTCTCAACTGATGAGATGATGGTGCCTTACAAGGGCACCTGGAATGGTTTTCTGAGGCAGTACCTGCCTAGCAAACCTCATCACTGTGAGTTTAAGATCTTTGTACGTGCAAGCTTAAGCTTTGTAAGCTTAAGAAGCCTGAAGACATTGGCAGAGACACTAAAAACAGTTAACAACAGGAGTTTCCTGCATGACGTGCTCAGTGTGCACGAGCACCTGGGTACGGTGTAGAGCTTTTTTGAACTTTGCAGGTGTTGTTCCACTGCTAAATATTTTTATTGGCATAGGAGTAATTCAAAATAATTTCCACGTCTATCTTTCTGCTTTTTCTTTCACTGTAAGTAGTCAGTTTGTTTTTCCTTTGTCTTTTGCGCTTGACCTTTTATGTAGTTTTGCGGCTGTCACTAAATGCAAATGTGTTGGGAATAAAAGCTCCAAGTACCACCAATGTAGCTAATTTATCATGGCATGATCTTCAGTTCTGTTCACTCCATGCCTGAGCATCACTTCATGTTTTTCCCTGCTGGAATATTCAAATATATTTTGTTTATTTATTGTTTCCCCTAACCATGTAGCCAAAATTAACTAGTTTGAAAATGGCAACAAAAATAAGTGGAAACATTGCTGCTGACTTGAGTGTTTTGCTCTTTTCAAGAGTATGTTCATCATATTTGACCTGTGTTTATTGGTGCAAGTTAGGTTTTGCACCAGATGCCCTTCCTGACACAATCCTCCCCATTTCTCCAGGCTTGAGACTAGCACCAAGAGTACACCAGTGGCTGGAGTCGACACTCAGCATTGAGCTCAAACCACAATCCTGAGCTCACAAGGCCTATGCACTACCAACTGAGCTAGCCAAGCGCTAACAATACCACCACTGTAATGTGTAAATTAGCTATGTAATGCTAGTGAGCATAATGTGACAGAAATAACATTAGCAATGTTTTTTGTGGTGAAGAACAGTTTTGATTTGCATTACCTATTTTCATATATTGCTGTTTAGTTTTAATAACATGAACATTGTTTCTTTTACGGTGTGAAGGATGATGAGCAAAACTGCAGAACGTCATCAGATTTCTACAGCTTCAGGATGGGTTTACTCAGGCAGACTTCACTAACAAAGGGAATTTCTAATTCATACATTTACGATTTCTTTGTTTTTGCTTGGAACTTAATATTTTAACTCTTGCATTGAAGGTATCACAAGCTACAGGTGATTGTTTACTGATTATTTACCTCGACTCTTCTTTTGTCTTCTTACTCTGGTTTGTTACACGCTGTGGCAAAGGTCCTCAGCACTAATACCATCCTAACACTAAGACGACCTCAGTTCTACGTGGCATTTTGGCCTAAAATGTGTTAACCACATAGACAGAAGACTTTATTCTTCTGAGGTGTTATTTTGTTTTGTATTTAGCACTGTTTTTGGTGTAATATTTGAAATCTTTCTACCTTAAGTGTAATTTCAAGAGAAAGTGACATTTAGCTGTGGATATATATATGCTCCATGAGAGTAAAAAGTGTAAGTGTCAAAAAAGGCACAGTACTGATTTTACAATGTATAAATCTTTATAATGTTAGCATTATACAATTTTACTGCCCTTATTTCAATAATGTGAAATATTTTACAGTGAAATCGCAATGGACATAATTGAATAGCAACGATCTCGTTTAGGAACAATGTCAGTTTTTAAAAAATGTACATGTCATGTAGTTTAGACTTAGTTTAAACCCCAGCAGTAACGGACCTTACAGAACAATACGGTTCTGTCCGTGTTCGGCCAAATCCACTTTATAAATGTCTCAGAATTTCCATAATGTAGTAACCTTGAAGTAACCTTAAAGAGTGGACCTTATAGAGTTGAACAGTAAACGTAAATTGTGGAGTTTTGTTAGCTGAAATTTCAAAACTTATTTGTCCTATATCTCAGAACAGCTCTTCACCCTGATAGAAAGTTTTGTAATGGCCTTGAAAAGTCTTAATGTCTATCTCTTTTTCTCCATTAGTCTAGAGAACACATCGAAGGTCATGCTGACCACTTCTACATACTGTTGATAAGAAACCCTTTGTGCAATTAATGACCCATTTATGTTCAATGTAAAATATGATGATGCACTTGTTAACTTGTTGTTTGTCAGGCAGACAAATTTAATTTAATACCCACACATCGAATAATAACAGTAACTTCTTTCTTCACGCATAAGAAAGAAGAGGGCCTCTATTACACATACGCACTAGGTGGTTGGAGGTACACATTTTAAGAAGCCTATCAGAAATCTTGAGAACACAAGAGCGTCCCTCGCCGGAAAGCAACCGGACACGTTAAGCTTTTATCGTGAATGGTACGGCCGGTGGCTTTGTTCTCTGTCGTAGACCGCGACGGTGGTGAAGAGTTGATCGGCTATCTTAAAATTTTAATGTGTATTCTATTAATTGGAATAATTAATTGGGTCAAAGTGGTCTTTGACTGTTTGAGTGAGCATTACCATATATAGAGAGTTTGTAATGGAGAAGACATTGAAACTGTTATTAAAGATCATAGTTTGTGCTTTTGACATTCACTATTGTATTACCAGAAGATTGCGTGCATGTAATAATAATAATAATACATTTTATTTATAAAGCACTTTACATTTTAAAGAAAATCTCAAAGTGCTACATAAAGAGTCATAATAACATACAGCAATTAAAACCAGCTGCCAACTGAGATTAGCACAGAAATTTAAACTCTAAATATTAAAACACTTTTTAAAAAGGTATGTTTTTAAACCCCTTTTAAAACCATCAGTCATTTGTGGAGCCCTCAGATGTTCAGGGAGGGCATTCCACAGGCGAGGAGCAGCGGCGCAAAAGGCTCGATCCCCAATGGTGCGGGTCTTAGTCCTAGGGGGGAGGAGATGATGAGTGTTTGTGGAGCGGAGGGGA